GGGTTGAAATTGTGTAGTCTTCAAAAACACTACCTACCACCACAGCTACTATGATGAATAACGACGACACCATAACAGCAACAACGACAACGACAACAGACAACAACAACAGGATCAGGGACACAGAAAATGACTTCACTCCAACCTCGCCTGGGTGTTGCAAATAGAAGAAGAAAAATTTAAAAAAAAAAAGTAAAATATAGATCTATATATTTTACATTTGTATAGAGTATAGGCAACTCCACGAAAAACCAAGGTATAAGAGATAACCTATAAACATGTTTCTAAATTATAGTCTATAATAAAACAACATAATATAAATAATACACCCTTCTCAAATGACACTCCCATTTGTCAATTTGAGTTTGGTTTTCTACTTCACAGGTGTCAAACTCAAGGCCGGGGGCTCTTGTGGTCTTGAGGTTATGGTGTTCGCCTTTAAATTCATTCAATAGGTCAGGGGTTTGAAACCTGAAAGCGACGGAACTTTTTTTTTTCTAAAATGTTCTCTTTTCACCTTCTATCCTGCTAATATCCGTGTTCTGTCGTCTGCTTTCGTCTCCACTTTCTGCCCCCCTCCACTTTTGCCCCTTCTTCTGGGCTCCTGACTCTTTCTGCAGCCTTTCCACTGTTACTCTTTGGCTCCTTCTTACTGCTGTCTTTCAGCCACACCCTTGATATCAATGTAGGTGAGATATAACATCTAGTCTTCTCGTATAAGATCGAAAAATCTCGGTTACATGACATGTCTTACGTAATGAATACCGCACTTATCGCTCATGGAATTTGATTGTTTTTTTTTCATGCGTGTTTACAAACATTAGATCTAAAAATTTGTCTGTTGTTTTTTTCCTAATCGAATTGGAAAATTTTTAATTAATTTTTTCCTGAGGTAGCATTCAAGTTTGCGAAAAATCCGTGAAAATCCACACTCCAGACACCACCAACAAAAATCTATTCCATATATAAAAAAATTAAACAAATACATTTTTAGTATTACCTCTTCTCTTCATTCTGTGAAAATTTCATGAAGATTGGATGAAAAATGGTGGAGTTATTCAATAAAGTATAGAGGAAAGTCGCATTTTGAGAAAACGGCCGATAAAGAAAAATAAAAAACTGACTTATTGAGGAAACGGCGGTTACAAACATGCCCGGTATGGAAAAAAATACGGTTTTTGGGGGTTCTTATGCCATGAAATAGTTGTAGGAGAGGCTGAGGAAGCTAAAAATGCCTACAACTCAAATTCCATGATTTTGAGCCGAATTTTGATTTTGGGGGTGTAGCCCCCCCCCCCTTATGTATCTGAACTAAAGTACACATTGCCCACTCTTCTCTCTCCATGCGCAGGTAATTCGATCTTTGTTCAGCTATTCTAACATTTTGTGAAAGTTGATGAAGCAGAAGACTGGATTTTCATCGAAAGTCCAAAATGGTGATCGCTTTCAAAACGTTTCTTTTTCTGTGATTCTCACGAGGGCGGTTTTGTTCATTCCACCCCAGACCACCCAAATCCATGACAGTTTTGTGGCCTCGGTCCCTCACAGATGATTATGTCCAAAAATCTAATTAACACAGTCCAGGAGCAAAACGCTTTCGTGCTCTACACGAAAACAATAGCTCCTAAACACAAAACAAAATCATACTAATGAGCACATATAATGTAAGTCCAGGTTCTGCGTGTATTTATGACTGCTCTGTTCTCCAGTCTGTTTGAACATATTTTCAGAAGATGCTGTTCATTGCAGAGACAAAAATATTCTTTTTTCATTTGACATTCAATACACGTCCATTCCCCCAATGTTGATGCATCTCAATACACACACGCAGACAATTTTACATTCCTTTGATTTCGCACAGTTTTGCTAAGCCTGATGTTTAGAGGTCATTAAAATTTATAGGTGACCATATCTAGGACGCCTCTTAACATTATATTATTTTATGAAATATTAATGTTTTAGATGATGCAGAATTTATTTGGCTTTAAGTTGGTATGCTGCATGAGTGGGTATTGCAAAGATATAACACGGTGATTGAGTGATTACATTTTCGAGTTTCATTTGGACACCGTTGTATAAATTCCCACCATTATTATTATTTTTATATTATTATGATTATTATGATTATTATGATGGTGATGATGACGATGATGATGATGATGAAGACGATAATAAATCATCATCATCATCATTATCTTCATCATCACCATCATCACCATCATCATTATTATTATCATTATCATTATTACTACTACTACTACTACTACTACTACTACTACTACTACTACTACTACTACTACTACTACTACTACTACTACTACTACTACTACTACTACTACTACTACTACTACTACTACTCCTCCTCCTCCTCCTCCTACTACTACTACTACTACTACTACTACTACTACTACTACTACTACTACTACTACTACTACTATTACTACTACTACTACTACTACTACTACTACTACTACTACTACTACTACTACTACTACTACTA